TCGAACGATTCAACAGAACGCTTAAAACATCTATGTGGAAATATTTTTACAGTAAAGGAACATATAAATGGATTGATATATTGGATGATTTAGTATATAATTATAACAATACAAAACACAGTACAATCTTGATGAAGCCTAAAGATGTTAATAAAAATAATGAAGATGAAGTATGGAATACATTATACGGTCATGAAGTTGCTTATTTACCATTACCTAAGATTAAAATTGGTGATATGGTTAGAATATCAAAGTATAAATCTATATTTACGAAAGGTTATGAAGCAAATTTTACAGAAGAGTTGTTTAAAGTGACTAAAGTTATTAGAGGAGACCGAATTTATATGAGATAGAAGATTTAGAAGGAGAGCCTATAATTGGTAAATTTTATGAAGAGGAACTATCAGTTGTGAATAAGAAAGATGATGTTTATAGAGTTGAAAAGATATTAAAACGTAAGAAGGTTAAAGGTAAAAAGATGGTTTTAGTTAAATGGTTAGGTTATGATAATAAACATAACAGTTGGATTCCTGAAAGTGAAATACAAAATATAGAGTAATCTATATAATGGCAGAAGGAGGTTTTGATTATATTGAATTAGAAGATAAGAAGCAAGAAGATAATAACGATGATAATGAAAATATTGCTGAAACATCATTTATTAATGATAATGATGATAAATTATTTATTACTGATAATGATGGTATAACAATAACAATACCTAATAATCTTCCTGATGTTCCTACTTCCACTCCTGTTTATACAAATATTAATAGACCTGAAAATGAAGTTTCTTTTGCTGTTGAATCTTTTATTACAAAAAATAATAAAAAAGTGTTTAGATTTAATCACCTAAAAGGTATGGCAGCTTCTGAAGGTTTAAATTTGAGATTAAATTTAGGTAAAACTAATATAAATAATATTACTTACAAACCATTAAATACAAGAAATAAGCAAGGTGCTGAAAGAATTGTTTTAAAACGTAATAGTAATGGAGAACTACAATACAATAAATCAGAAAGTGCTAAAAAAGCTGTTAAACAATTTAAAAACGAAATTAAAAGAATTATTAAATTACAAGAGGAATTTATAAAAACTGAAGAGAGTATGCCTATGGTTGATTTAAATAATCAATATACAGATAATTTCAATCAAATAACTGGTGAAGAACTTAGAGAACATATAGGTGTAATGACCCCCTCTGGAACAATCGATAAAAGAACACGCCCGCAATTCATAAAAGCACAAATAAATCACTTTGCTGAAGAGCTAAACAAAACTCAAGCTAGAATAGATGAAATAGAAAATGAAAATGAAAATGGTATTGACAACAATATTGATGAATTAACTAATTTGCATGAAAGAGCCGAAGAATTAAAAATTATAATTAGAGAAGAAGAAAATCAATTAGAAAAAGAGGATGTACGAGAGAAACAAGAAGAAGACATTACTAGATTACAAAAGTTTAAAGAATGGGTTAAGGAAAATATTCCAGGATTATCAGCTTTAGCTATATCTATAGCTGGGATAATTACAACCATTGTCATAGGAGCTAGAAAAGCAATCCTTCAAGGTGCTCAAGCTACTAGTAAATTTTCTAAGGCTTTAGCAAATCTAGTTAAAAAATTATGGCCAGTGTTAGGTCCATTATTGAATATTATCGCTCAGGTTATATCTGGGGGAGCAAAAGGTCTAGCATGGGTAGCTTCTAATCTATGGATTTTAGCTATTGCTGCTGCTTTGTTAATATATGATCAGTATAAACAAAGAAGAAAATAAAATATGTTTTAATATATATGAATAGATTATTACAAGAAGAGCTTTTACCTGGTTATAAAAGACTGCTATGACAAAATTAAAGGTAACCGTACTTTTATAGTATAACCTTTAACCCTAATAGTCTTAAACCGAATGAACAAGTTTATATTAATATTCCGAAATTGAAAGCAAATAGTTGCTTAGTGCCTGGTTCACTTAATCTATCGTTTGATCTTAAAATCAGTAATACAAAAGTCACTTTATAAATAATCTCAGTCAGATTTTACAACATAGACTACAAATTAAAGTGGCTGGGAAACCCTTTACGATTGTAGTGAACATAATATTATAAGTGTATACAAAGACTTGTGGTTACCTAAAAGTGATCGACAAGGCCTTATTGAATACGGTATTTGTAGCGAAAATTTACGAAAACTCATTTCGAAAGATGATACTGCTGCAACAAGTGGAAGTTCAGAAAAGTATCAGACAAATTAATGTATGATATTTATGGTATAAGACAAAAATTAATATTGATAATATTCTTAAAGACCATGGTCTGTATTGCCCTTTCAATATGAATAATAACTTTCAATACATAATAACATTACCACCAAGTGATCAAGTCCTTATCCCCCAAAGTGGTCAAAATATAGGTGATTATGAATTAGAAAATATTCAACTTGAATATGAAACTATTGAAAACCAAGAAATTGCAAATGAGGTGACAAATTTATATTCTATAGGAAGAAGCCTATTTTATGAACATATAACCCTCTTAAAAAAGGAAAAATGGGATAAGTCAAGTACATTACAGAATATAAACGTAAATGTCCCTCGTAAAAGTATGAAAGGCATTGTACTATTATTTACAGAAGATTCAGTTAGTGATAGTGAAAATTTCTATTTCCATTAATCGATAAAATTTCTGTGACAATAGAGGGTGTGCCAAATTGTATTTTCGCCCAAGGTATGAATAAAAAACATTTTTATGAAGAAGCAAGAAAATTTTTTGATAGAACTATTCCGATAGATTGCTTCATGACAATTGAAAAATTTTATAAGGATAAATTTGCATTAGTTATCGATCTACGCACCTTTCAAGAAAAAAATATTGCTGGTAACGGAAAAAATCATTAATACTCAAAATGGCATTCTGCTTGAAATTAAAAAGAGCATATACAAAAGATTTAAACTGTTACATCTATGTTATTAGTGATGCTCTTGTTCAATTTGTTAATAATGATTTACAAAGTATTCAATACTAGAATAACCAGTAATATATAAATGAACACACCCTTTAATATGATTATTGTAGGTATGACAAATTGTGGTAAAACCTTCATTCTTTTAAGAATGCTAGAAAAAAACTTTAGTAACCATTTTGATTATATTATTTTATTATGCCCAACATTATCATATAATAAAACCTATCAAGAATGGAAATATATAAATGATTCTGATTTAATTAAGGTCGAATGTGACCAAGATCAGGTAGATATTGTTTTAAAATATGTTAGTGATGTATATAAATGTACAAATAGTCTTATTATTCTCGATGATTGCGCAAGTGGCTTAGATGTTAAAAATAGGACATCGCAATTAGTACGATTAGCATTTAGTGCTCGCCATTATGGACTATCTACTATTGTAGTTACACAGCAATTGACAAGTATTGCCAAACCTTATCGTGAAAATATAAGTTATTTAGTTACATTTTATAATCCAAACCGCAATGACATGAAAACAATATTTGATGATTATCTTTATGGTTTTCAGAAAGATGATATAGAAGAAATAACCAAAAAATTGAAAAATAATAAATTTGCTCATCTATTTATTCAACTAATATATCCATACCAATGGAAAATTGTTATTCCGCAATAAAACATGTGTTAATATATATGCCAAAGCGTAAAGAGCCTGAAACAATTGATGATATAATTAATGAGATTGATTCCGCAAATGATACTATCAAAGATGCTGTATGTGATGATAATATACAAGATAAACCGCAAGAGGGTTTTAATAAAAGAGATCAACTACTTAAACTAGCTGAAGATGGTGATTTAGACAAGTCAGTTGCTTACATTAAAAAAGCTAGTCAAAAATTATTGATAAATTATACATTGAATACGAGAAAAACGATTACAAAAGCTAATGAGTTTTTAACTGATTTAGTTATATCAAAATTTTCAGATATATTAAAAGGGTTTGATGCTATTGAAGACTCAAAGAATTAACAAAACAGCTTAAATCAGACGACCTTTTAAAACGAGATGTTTATAGTTTAGTAGAAAAAATATCACCCCTATTACCTTTTCTAGGTTTTTTATCTGGTGGTATAACAACCGTTAAACATGTTTACGAACATAAAAATAATAAACCGGATATAAAATCTGAGGAATAATATAAATGAGCTTATTTTATGGGCATGATAAAACAGATATTAATGTAAATATACAAGGACCTGTAGATAAAACACATCTATCAGATAACCACTACACTAAAACTCAAGTTAATAATAAATTTAATGACTACTATACTAAAACGCAAGCTGATAATAAATATGTTTTTGTCTCAAGATTAGCCAACTATTATACAAAGAATGAAACAAATGGTAAGTATGTTTTAAGTTCTAATTTATCTAAATATTATACAAAGACTGAAACAGATGGTAAATTTAATGACTACTATACTAAAACACAAGCTGATAATAAATTTAATGACTACTATACTAAAACACAAGCTGATAATAAATATGTTTTAAGTTCTAATTTAACTAACTATTATACTAAAACACAAGCTGATAATAAATTTAATGACTACTATACTAAAACACAAGCTGATGGTAAGTATGCTTTGACTTCTAATTTAAATGACTACTATACTAAAACACAAGCTGATGGTAAGTATGCTTTGACTTCTAATTTAAATGACTACTATACTAAAACACAAGCTGATGGTAAGTATGCTTTGACTTCTAATTTAAATAACTATTATACTAAAACACAAGCTGATGCTTTGACTTCTAATTTAAATGACTACTATACTAAAACACAAGCTGATGGTAAGTATGCTTTGACTTCTAATTTAAATAACTATTATACTAAAACACAAGCTGATGGTAAGTATGCTTTGACTTCTAATTTAAATAACTACTATACTAAAACACAAGCTGATGGTAAGTATGCTTTGACTTCTAATTTAACTAACTATTATACAAAGAATGAGATTGATAGCAGAGTAAATGGTAAAGTAGTACACCATAGCAATCAATTAAATTATAAAAATTTTAATACCCGACAAGATATTATCAGAATTTATTTTAATAATGTTAAATTTATTGAATTTACACTTTTATTAATAAATCCATCTGATAACTCTAAAACAATTAAATTAGATATGATGGCAGATAAGATTAAAAAAAAATTTATCATTAAAGTAACAAATGATAATGAAAAAAAGATAGTTAATGCATTACTAGATTTATATCACGTATACTGTGTTGATGATGATTCAAGAAATATTTTATTCGTTATTGAACCAACAAAATCTTCAGTTTCATTAGGTTATGACGAATGGAAAAGAAAATGGCTGGCAGCATTTAATAAATTAACCAAAATTCAAGTTTATTCACAACATCAATCTACATTATCTATGTCATTTAATGGTTTTTCACAAAATTTTAGGGCTACTATAGAAGATAATATTCTATCAACTAAAAATTTGTAAATGATGAAATCGAAAAATTAAAAAATTTATTAAAATAACTATCAAGCTAAAACTTAAGATGAAGAATAATCCTCATGTTTGACTAATAACTGTTTGTAATAAGTAATTAATACAAAAGCGATATACAAAAGAATTCAAAATCCTGAAACAATTAGTAAAAACACTTTTAACAAAAATTATATAAAACATTGTTAAACATGTACATATAACACTCGCTTGACAGACAAATTAAAAAACATATATATTCCATATTTTGTAAAACATTGTATTATTATACATGCGCTGATGAAATGTGCTATCTACATTAAATCAACATTGTCCTGGCAGGGCCTTGTTAACACTTGATTTTTGAAGAGCATTTTTTAAGCCTCTGTTATTCTCGAATATTCTTCGAATATTCTTCGAATCCAATGGGAGGCGACCCCAATTTTTCACTTCGTGAAAAATTTTCCCACCGTCGCCTAGAATTCTCGGGGGATCCATTCCCCTGCTCAATTTTAGCTACGCTAAAATCTGCGCTGCCGATCCCCCTCCGAACCGATGCTTTCTTAACATTTGTTTGTAAAGACCGTTTTTAAACGATTAATTGTAACCTCGAGATTTTTACCCCCTTTGAAACAATGACTATTTTTTACACAGCTTTTTTACATGACCTTTTACCAGAGGGACGTTTTTATACCATGGTCCTAATTTACGCTTTTATACCCACGGGTGTAGTAGTAATATACATGGGGGATTCGAATACATAAAAAGTAAACTTTTTATGGATTCGTACCCCCATGTATATTACTACTGCTCTCAAAGTTATTGTTTTTCTAGCCCTCAGAAGTGGCGATATTTCGGCCGCCATGTTTGCTAAATTGACGTCAATTTGAGTACACATTCGCAACATGGCAATACATTAATAGAAATTACTATTGGCTAGGCGACTTAAGCCCGTTTTCCACTAGCCACGTATCGTAACGTATCGTAGCAAAATGTAACATGGCGCATGCGTACTTGTGCCTATTGACATCAAATTCATAATCACACGTTAAAGCCCGTCGCAAACGAGAGCTATCTCTTTAGCAAAGTTTCTAAAGCCAATTTGCACAGCGCGTAGCTCGCTGTATGCGGCAGTTGTGAGCTACAAGCTCACCGAACAAAAGGTAAACAGCCAATGAGACCGTACTTTTGAGTCACATGATGAAAATAAAACTGGCCGTGTAATTATAGAGATTATAAATTATACAAATAATAGTGTCATTGTTTTAACATATTTTATAATATAATTTATAATACCCTCATTCGTAATTATATATAATCTCGGTGCGAGTAGCACTGTGAAATTATTTTATGCTGGTGCGAAGTATTAACCATTGAAAAAAAGACAATAGTCATATAGTCCATACGTTTTGATGGCAACGTCGGCGTCTTTTCACGATGAAAAATAAAATTGTATATTCTAATTTATTTTTCTCCATTATGTTTTTTTCTGTGGTTAATACATCAAATCTACATAAATTATACATTCTCTGATTTCCCATTGTTACATCAAACACACAATGTATAAATACTAATAGAGTTATTTATAATCTCTATGGTAACACGGCCATCTTTATTTTCCTTGTGTGACTCAAAAGAACGGCCTTATTGGTTTTTTGTTGCGTGTTTCTGTTATTTTCAACAGATAAAAAAAGTACAAAGATATATTTTTTGAAAAAATACGTGTATGTTAAATTCCCTATTGTAACACGTGCCGTTTCTGCCATGTAGACTACAGTTTGCGAATAAACTTACGGTACTCAGGTCTTTCTCAGGAGAAGTAAATGATCGCAGATCTAGTCGATTACTCTGATTACCATGACAATCCGTTTGATTTTCAGAAAACAGGTGCTACAAAAAATGCAAATCTCATTTAAAGTGTACATCGACAAAATAATATGGTCAATATGACAAACTGTAGCTAAAGTATGTCATACCATACCCTCATTTATATGGCCCTAGGGGTGAATTTTTAGCCTACTTTCAAGTGGGGGGTTGTTGAAAGGAGGGACGACAAAAATGAGACCAGGAGCCAGATAAATTTTCATGAAACAAAGCTAATGCATACTTACTCACACAACATAATAATTATCAATATTAATTTCTATTAATTAAAATAACCAAACCCAGACGTGCATAAGTGCATTTTGAAAAATAAAATGCGTAAACACATTACCATAATTTTATCCAAAACTTATTGTATATTATTGTTAGCTAACTTTCTTGTCCATTGGGGTTTAAAGAGGCTGTGAAGTAAATGGAGGAAATACGGAAATATGGGATGAACCGTAACAATGGCACGATGAAATGTGGCTAACTACATATAACAGGTTGCTACAAAAATGGTCGCTAACCACAAATGGTTGCTAACTACATACAACAGGAGCTACAAAATGCTAGTTGCAATAAAACGAAGAAAACAATCTTTCGTCAGGGCATTGAGCAGACAGTTGTTGGTCCTACAAATCCTACTTGAAATGAAAGTTTTACCTTGACTAAAGCATCAAGAAGTTTGGTTGGAATTGGAGATTCATCACTGGTGGAACCCGTAATCTTAGATGTTGCCTTATGAACAGCCAGCTGAATATTGGGTGAAAGCACTGGTTTGGTGAGTCTTTGAAACGCACGAGAGAAGTCTTTGCTTGTGTCTACATAAAAGAGAAAAAATTTCGTTACTTAACGGAGTGATTTCTAAGATGAAAATGGACGGGAAAAATAGGCTAACGTTTGTTTGAACTCTTGGCCATCCAAGTCACATAAATATATACTGAGACTTTTAATTACTGTTACTTTCTGTGTTTACATTAAGACTATATATATTTACACTATTGCAGAACAAAAAAGTAATGGCACAATCTGATTATGCGTCCAAAGCAACGTTTTCAAACAAATCCACTCAGGCGCAGCATAAATGCAAACCAGTTTTGTCAATTTTTACACCGTTTTCAGACCGGAGTAGTGTAAACGTACTATAAAAGACTAAATTAGGCAAACACATGATTTCAAAACATGAATTCCGTGGAAACGTACGAAAACACATGTTAGCGAAATTTATTAATGCACGGTATGGGTAGAACCGGTAAATCTTTGCTTGTGTCTACATGAACATGCAAGTAGTTAGGATTCTTTGGGGACTAATATTTTAAAAAAGGAACTGTCTGGTTTAGAGAAAATCTTCAGTTTGAGAATGAAGGTTTAAGGAATGATTTTTGAGAGGAAATTGATTGAGTAATAAACAATTTTGCCGCATGAAAATAAAACTCGCTACAAAAACTAGATCGCTCACTGGTATAGTACATGATGCGACTTAGGTATGAAACGAAAACTTTAATGAATGGAATAACAATCTATACAGCGCAGAAACTTATCTCTCTATATGGCAACGTTTTTCATGAAAGAGACATAATTTCCGGCGTTTGATTTTACCGACTTACAGAAAGCAGAAATTCGTTCAAAGAGAAGTTCTTGTCACGTGTTGCTCTCAAGGCATTTATGATCGTTTTATAGTTTTTGATAATGTTTGAAATTACTTGTCGTTCACACAAATGAATGTATTCGTAAAGTTTCGAACACATGGCACATGAAAGTTGTTAATGTGAATATCTATAGTCCAGACAATGTTTGCTTGGAGTTACGTAAGTGTAAAATTTCAGCAAACGAATGAAAATTTCCCCACTTTTTGTTTATGAATAAAGAACCTATCGTCCTTTTCACAAAACCTAAAACTCGTCGTCATGGAAATCTTACCATCACAATCCTCAAGAAAATTATTTTGCTTCAGCAAAGCGGACGTGGTGTCTTTCCGACGACATAATTCCAGATATTGCGACAAGTATTCACCTTGAAGAATAAAAAGCTTAAGTCACATCCAAAAAATTACATCATTGTGATGTAATTTGCTCATATATTTATCATCTGTAATCTTAGATAAAATAAAGTTGAAGTTTATGAATTATAAACGAGCAGACAATTCATGAATTACATAGCTAGGGGATTGAGGGTAGGGGGGAGGTTGAGATTTTCAGATCCAATCTCGCGAGAAAAGACTCTGCTAAGATATCAATCTATATTAGGCTGTGATAAAAAACCAAACCTTTTCCCATGTACGCAATTCAAAGTATTGGCGTAGCCAAGATTTTCTGTCAAGGGGAGGATAGTCAAAAGAAAAGGGGGGCATTGCTGTTATTCAAGTAATATAATATATGTAAAACATAGCATGTTAGGGGGAGAAGAATTTTTTACAGGAGGGCCTGGCCCCAGGTCCCCTTCTGGCTACGTCATTAATTCTAAGTCTATAGAAATGTAGCTAAGTCCGTCGTGTTCCAGGTGAACAACTATAAAATTTTAGGATGGCTACAAATACGGTAACAAAACCTTGGTTGCCACCGCGCTATTGCAAAGCAAATGTAGTTTTGCAGGGACTTAATCTGGTTTCTCAAAAGATTTGAGCAGTAAAAAGTAAATAATATGTTCAAGACAGAGATGTAGACAAGTGTAGTTACAGGTATTTATGAGTTACATTGACATTTCTATACACCTGTTTGTCAAGAAATTTCGCTTACGATTGTTTATAATGTCGAATAAAATTTTGGTAATAGGTACTTTTCAACAACATCAAAGTACAGTTATTAAACACCTTCACAAAATGTTGCCAATATTTTAAAACTTGTAATCGTTTAGAAGATAGCAGCCATGTCTACTTCTACTACAGAACTCTCCTTAAAAAAAATTGGCCAAACTGGCTTCGGCCACGCCTAACTTTAGACAGCCAGCAATTTAGGTGTTGGCTTCTTGGTAAGCGCAGAGTAGCGAGGCATTTGCTTCACATAACCTCTTTGCTTAATAATACTAGGTCTGTATTATTACATAAACAGTAACTAGGCCATTAAATGATAAGAAAACTTGACTTGGGTGGCAACGCACGTAAACATACACTAGCTGATTTTATTCATTTCTCTGCACAAATATTTGTCGTTTCTATTCTTAAAAATTTATTAATACAATCATTGTCATACCCAGAAGACAACCAGCATCCTCTGTCATCCTTACACGTACATGCCATTGCGGTGCTTGCATAGGATCTAGGTCACTAAATGAATAGATCGGTGTTTGAAATCATTTCATCATTCAACGAAAAATGTCATTACGTACGAATAAATGGCATTGTCAAGAATGACATCTTCCGATAAACATGGCCACGACGCTGATAAATGCAGTTCACTAGAAATAAAGACATATTTAATCAACGCATGGTAAAAGAACAACTTGTATTTGATGTTTTAAATAATGAGTCAGGTAGAACTTCGTACATTTAGAGAGTGTCAACCATCATGCATTGCGATCGTAATCGGCCAATCTTAAGCACGAAACTAACTGGCAAGAATATTTTGGATTTAATTCTTCGTAATCGCTGCAATCCTTGTTCAAATATTCATTTTTTAAGAAATAACAAATGATGTATGCGATTCTCCAATTATTTTACTACTTTTTGGTGAAAGAAAACACTAGAATGAGAAATTATTCGAGTTAGCGTATAATACACTTGGACTCCCACTGTCCCACTATTCTACATAAAGCACAAACGCGCACAATGCATAATAGTTAAAATTCACTCTTTAATAGAGATTTTTAGAAGGGAGTCGTATAAGTTTTATAGAGAAAAAACTATTTCGTTGTATAAAAAGTCGTAAAGAGAAAAACCATTAGAAATCAATTCCTTCTTCTTCCTCTCAAAAAAGTTTAAAAGAGAAAAAACTCTTCATTTTCTTGAAAAAAGTTTCCTGAAATTGTAATCTTCTTTTCAACAATATTTGCATGTTTGCCCTGAAACTATCGAAACTTTTTTAATCAAAAGTACTCAATAGAGTGCTCAATATCTATTCGGATCCATAGTCAAAAAATTACACATAAATAATCAAATATCTAGAAAATCCTCTCTACGCGATGTTTCACGCCTAACAGTATTCATCAATCATCAGGTGAAAAAAATAATCAAACTACAGTTACTAAAACATGTTTGCTAAAATCAGGTTTCAATAATGAGTAAATAGCAACTGTAGTTTAATTAGTACGCTACAAGTTACTTGCATTATATGTTGTGTTCCAGTGATGAGTATGAAAACATAATGAGGAAAAAGTCCATGACAGAATCAGCTAGCCTCGTTCCCAGGCGCTTTCTCGTACTACTTTTTAACGCGTGTGCTGCACGCAAAATACGCAAAATAAAAACAACAGAAAACGAGGGAAAGTCTAACATCGCCTCTTACAATCATTCAGACATCGCACAACTATGTTAGGCCTGGGGGACAAGCTGAGCATCAGCTTAGACGAGATTTGAGCTCGTAGCTTCGGGTGGGGACACTAGACCGCCGCTCCATTTGTTAAGCTACCAAGCCAACAAAGATTGGGAAGGAGTCAAAAATGCTATTAACTGCATATGCTCGAAATATTCTCCCCGCGATAGCAATCTCTTCATGGCGACATGTTTAGGCTTTATCTCAAGGCTATCGTTAGAGAAAATTCGAATATGAATTCTAAGATGCAAAAAACCGTGTCAGAATTCATACTCCGATTCTTTGATTATGGCTTCGGAATAAAGTCCATAACATTTTCGATAAATTATCTATTTTTCTAAAACAGAAAAACTTTAACATTACGTGTTACTGATGCATTTTGACTAGATCAAATTTTAAAAAAAAACAAGACGCTTATCAAGACCTCGTGGATAGAAATCACGGACAGTTAGTAGCGTAGGCGATGGCTGGCGCTAAATGTTATCTTCGCTCGCGCCTGGACGTTCGAGTAAATTGTTTAGTGTGTGTAAACTGCTTTCCTTGCAGTTATTTGCGAGCGGCTCGACTTTTAAATATTTGTAAAATGGAGAACGCGATAAAACAATTTCAAGGGTTGTATTTGGGCAAAACGTTTGGAGCCATGGCTTGCAATGGCTAAAGCGCTTGGTGTTTTACAACCTATACAGAACGATAGTTTAAACATCGTACTATAAAATTCGACGTTTGGAACTTTCTAGCAAACTGTTCGGACAACGCAATATTTAGCAACACGTAAAAGATAGGCGCTTTTGTGGACTTTAATACAGGCAACTCTTCAAGTGTTACGAACTCACAGCCAAAAAAGTCGGGTATTGTGCGTTATTTTTGGACCTGGGCACCTTGCAAACTATTTTTTAGTTGTGCGAATCAGTTTTGTAATATTGCAGTTGAACGGCTTAGTACTTTCGCCATCTTGTTTTGTCAAAACTAATAACTTGTGCGCAAAATTTAGCTAATCTTTCGCCATGTTGTCCGTGATTTCTAGCCTTGCTTTACTCGAGCTACTCGAGAACAGTGTTGGGTTACAAAATAGCACAAGTAAATTCACGGCAATGCAATCTCACATGTGGTAATAGACTATTTACAAGTAAGTAAATCGAGTTTTATTATTCGTGTCTTTAGTGAGAATCACGCGTGAAACGATCCAAGAAAGATTTTAATTGGTTCAAGGACTTCGAGTCAGCCACGCGTGATTTAGGCAATCTCGCAAATGTACAGGACAGTCCGAATTTTAAACTTGGAAGCCCGAGTAACTAAAAAAGTATCTTGTATCAATACAGTTCAATTCCAAATGTTTATTTTAAATTTGATGCTGCCATACGGTCTAAAATAATACTTACAATGTAGCAACTAGAAGGAGAACTTCCTTCATTAAAATTTAATGATAATTACCTCACAGCATCCTGTGATGTTCCAAAAGGAAGAGTTTCCAGATCACAAAGTCCAACTTCATCACCTAAATACGAATCAAAATCTGGTGGAGCCTGAGGCCAGCAGCTGTCACTCCATTCATTAAGAAAATATGTAAATCTGATGGAAATTACGATTGCAGGAGGATTTGTGCCACGGAGAGCCTGAAATGTGAAAGGCAAATAAGACTTCTTTAACAAATCATAAAACAGACCTTACAACAGATAACCATAGCATACCTTTTTGGGGGAGATGGAGCGGTGAAAAGATTCAAAATTTCAAGAAAGCCTCAAATAATGATCTAAACTCTTCTAGCCATCTGACTCAGCCAAAACTCTATCGCTACGAGTGTGGCAAGCCGCCATTTTGAAACGTGGCGAGTTATGAATAAATATCTGCTTTTCTGAGTTGATATGCAGTTGCAAAGTTTATAGTCTAGGTTTGACTGTTAAAAAGTTTCATAGGATACGTTTTTAAACTTTTTTCTACTTATTTTTCATTTTCAGTTTTGCCACCTTTAAAGATAGCGTCCTTGCCTCACCTACACTGGGTAGGGGATTGGGTTTTTTATCATTACTCTCAAACCATAATTGATATACGCAACTCAAACCTAAATCTGTAAAAAATAATTTCGACCAATCAGCGCCTGTACTTTAAAAAGGTTATTTTACAACAAAAATCACTTAGCAATTGGTCACGTTTTTCCATTGGAATAATGACAAAATGGTCCATTACACTACAAATAAATTCAAGAAATATGAGAGAAAACATACTCCAAATACCAACATCATGTAAACTAAAGACTCGAGTTAGGTAAACAAGAGACAAGATCTTGAGTTTACAAGATGACGTTATTTCAAGTAGCTATATTTTCTCCTATAGAACTTACGAATTTATCTTTAAATACGTCCAGCAATCCTTTAAGATGGTTGAATTGTTTGGGAACACGACGTAAATGGACCATTTCAAGCATCGTACGAAAACCACTGCCGAGACAAATACCGCGATAAAGTCGTCGCCATTTCTCGTGCAGCTGAACCAAAAGTGGAACGTAACTGTCGTTGAAGAAGATATAAGAAAGAATCGAAAAAATATCACAAAACACCATTGACTCACCATTTCGAGTTGGATAGAGCCATTGAAATAGAGCTCAAGAGAAGATGACATCTCGATTCACTTGTGATGGCAGCATTTTCGACTGAAGGTGACAAAACGAGAAACTCCTTCAATCCAAACCTATAAGGGAGAAATCTAAATTTTGTAATTCTCTTTAGCGTGCATAAGGTTTGCAGGTACCTTCAGACACTTATATGGCTAAAACTATTCAGCGAATCCGGAGAAATTGATAGAAAACTGACAATTTTGGTCATGAATCAATTTTGTGTGTGAGGGAGGGGTGCTCTAGTTTTCATTAGATGTCGTTGAGTCAGTCTAGTTTGGACTTGATCACGGTGGCGAGGTTCAGGGTGTTTTATGATTTTAGCCATGGCTAAGTGGGGAGGAGAGGAGGGTGGTGCGCAACTCCTGCACCTCGCCATTTACTATTACAGGATACTAATGACAACAAGCACGTCAAATCGACACAACCAATAGCTAAAACCAATCACCTAAGGCCCCCAAAACAGGATAAAACAGCAATCGGATAGAGGAATACAAAATGCAAAAATTTACACCATATAATGAACTACAAGGACTGCTGTTAATTTCTCACTTTCACACTTTTGCAATTTTCTGTAGATTTTTAAAAAACTGCCCACGAAAGCGTACCGGCTGCCTGCAATCAATGACCAAGACAGCCTTTATATCTAGTCACACAATGCAATTGCTTCGATTAAAATTGAATTGAGAATAATGACTTCCAAAGAAATTATGACAGATCTCAAACAGGAGGGGACATTCGACGATGTATTTGTGTGTCTGTGGGTGAGGTGAGTCAAACGACCAAAATTTTTGAAGAGAGGCTTAATGGACGATTAATCTAAACAACGCGAATTCTAAATGACTTAAAAGCTACTCAATTTACTCCAACTAGCCACCCCTCCCCTCCCCCAACTAGTGCCCGTCACTGATCTCAGAATAACGCGCTGATAGTGGGACTGGTTAACTGGGTCTGCGTTTGTTATCATCATAGAAGTATTAGCGACATTTTTTTCAATGACAATCAAAACTTTTGTGCTATCCAGCCAACTGAACATATTTTATGACGGAAAAAAAAAAGAAATTGTAGTTATATCTGATCATACCATCGACTAAGACAATGAACCCGCGGTGGAAAATCGCTATCCAGGTCACACATATCCAAAACAGCATTTGGCAGACCTTCTTCAATATCTGTAAAATTAGGAGTTCAACTCGTTGACTACAGTTAAGTATTCTAACATGCTGAATAATACACATCGCTAGCGAGTTTATACAACACGAGCGAGTTTCTAGGCATCTTTAGCGATCTAGAATACATCGCTGGCGAGTTTCTACACATAGCTGGCAAGTTTCTAGACATGGTTGACGAGTTTCTACGCATCTTTAGCTTCCTAGTACACAATCGTTAGCGAGTTTCAATACATCATTAGCGTGTTTTTCCACATCGTTGGCAAATTTCTACACATCGCCAGCGATTTTGTAGCTCGATGCTCGATTTTGTAGTCATATATCACAAGCGAGTTTCTTACCAGAATTTTCATCCCTTCGCTGTGATCGTGGTTTCATACAATGATAAGATAAATCAAAGCAGAAGTCAGAGAAATGAACAGTTTCCGACAAGATCTCCCAGCTTGTGTATTTACACTGCATTAAGAAAAAAATGATATTAGGATCGATATTTTAACATACAGTTAAACCTGTATGACGTGGACAACCTCAGGAAATGAACTAGTGTCCGCTTACAGTAGGTGTGCGTTTATCAGAGGTTCTTGTCAACAGGCTTCTCCCGGTGAGAAAATTACATAATTAGTAAAATCAACAGCTAAACTGCGCAGATTTATTTAGAAACGATATACATGTAGTTAATAATTGACAGTTATAATGACAGTTAATAATTACAAAACTGAAAAATATTTCTAGTAATATATAATAAGTAATAAGTGGTTGAATGAATAAAAGTATTGTGATCTCGTGTAAGTCTTTTAGACAACGACAAGCTTATATGACATTAATAACCGAGCGCGAGTCTTTACGGAGAAATATCGGACTGACGTTATTTTGTACAGACCGAGCCCGTAGGGGAGGTTTGTACAAAGACAGAGGTCCGATATTTCTCAGTAAAGACCGAGAAAGCGAGGTTATTAATCAAAAGGTTTATTATATGGCATTATTTGACCTGAAACGAAGCTTGCTTTCTTTTTCGTCCTTGCTGTTTTCTTACCGGTTTGCTTTTACTTTTCTAGTTTTAGTACATAAAAAATAAAACGTTTCAAATTGTATCCTCTGGATAGCAAAACAGTTTTCCAAGTGTTGTTCTTTCGACAAACATTCGTAAATAGTTTTTTCGTTCGTTTATTTTGCGTTTTGCTTGTTGCATTACGTTTGTATACGATCTGAGCCAACCAAAGTGCGCCATTTAGCCGGAGGTGACGCTTGCCATATAAAAATAAGTGGTAAATAATTTCATGTTTGAACAAAGCATTTTATCTTCAACGCACTTGCTTTATGACAAATATCTTCATAATTGTTGTGACAATATGTTTGTGACCAACATTATGTCTGTAAACAACATGAAATGTTTTGAAAAATTGTACGTTAAACACAGATTTTTGTGCTTTTATTCGAAAATTTCGGTGTCCGTGTCTGGATAATAGAGGTGTCCGCTTGAGAAAGGTTCATTAGTACGAATCATACGACATTTACTACGGGACTTGACAAAGAGTTCGTTCAATGCAGGGCCGCTTACAACAGGTCTGACTGTATTCTGACCAATTAAATACAGCAATACTTATATGAAATTACACGTCGCTTAGAAGAAATGTTATTATTAGCAAAACTCCTTCAACACGATCGTTTCAACGATGTCGTAAAAACGGCGGGAAATGTAATTGACATTCTCGTTATTTTTTTAAAATTTTCGAAATTTTTACGACATCTTAGACGGTTCGTTAAGGATGGTTTTTGTCAAATTTCTCAAATATAAAATGCACAAGCTGGACAAATCTATTATCATATGTAGGCTTCATTCTGATCTCCTATATTCTTTGATAACTTTTGGATATTCACACAAAAATGACAGCTAACAAGACATAGTTACACAATACAACTAATCTCACAATTATCTTACAAAGCAACATGGCATTTGCTGATTTTTTGTAGCCCTCAGAAAATGTAGTGATTAACCACAATCAATCAATCAATAAACTGAATACCTCATCATTATTAGTCTTTGGCATGAACTTTAAGTTAACTTTCTTGTTGGATGTTGAAAGGCTACGCACCCTCTATAACCAAAGAACTCAATTATCTCAAATTGAAATCCTATTGCTGCCATCAGTAGCTGGTCATGCAGACAGAAGGAAAAACAAACGAAAACAGAAAGAAATTTTATCTATGTTTGTTCATCTTTCTGAATGTTTTATGCAGCAGTTTCAATGTATTTCAAGCTACAGCAAGTGCCAATGATTGTACTAAACAATGCACTAAAATCGTTAAACAACAAGTTCACCTTAATGTAAGTTTGCAATTTATGCGTTTAACACACGGTGATAAGAACTCATACTTGATTATATTGCATTTATATGGAACCCAGAGGATTATAACAACAGCATACTAACAAAAAAAAAGTTCAAAGTCCATGACCTCTGTGTAAGAATAATACCTACATAACTACTGTGGCCCGTACGTGCAATACATGTTTTGCCCGTTTTGTGGACGTGTTGTTGAAACAGCTCATCACTTTTGTCCATTCTGTGGAAGCCAGTCACCAAATAATGATAATCTGCCCAAACACTATGTATAGATAGCATTGCTGGACTGCACGACGACCCACGACTAGTCTACATCTAATGAAAAACTGATAACACGCTAGTTTAGGCAAGGTGCTACTTACGACATTATTTTGTTCCTCGATAAATATCATCGTATTAAAATGTCGTTACGGACTTTAAAAACAAAGCTGACTGATCTTGGTAGTTGGTATACTGTATGAGGAGGAGAAAGAATAATATAACTAATTTAGAATTAGTAAATGATCGAGTTCGTAAAGAATTGGATGGTCCAAGAAGTTCTGGCAATTACCGCTCAAACTGGTATTCACTAAAACTCGAGAGGATGAGGAGAGTGGAGAAGATAAGTTAGCTGGTTGTCAAGCACACAGATAAGGGTCATCACCAGCCAACCAGTCTGTTATCAGTTTTCACTAGATGAAGTCTGGTCGTGTGTCATCGTGCAGTCCAGCAATGCTATCTCCACATAGCGTTTTGGCAGATTATCATTATTTGGTGACTGGTTTTCACAGAATGGACAAAAGTGATGAGCTGTTACAATAACACTTCCACATTAAAAAATTTCCATCTACTATTAAACAAAACATAGGCATTTCAAAATAAATGTGAACATTTTTGGTTTTAAAATTGAAAGTGCGCCTGCGCTAATTCCGGTCAGCGTTAGTTTTTGCATTGTGATAACTTTGATTTTGCATTGCGATAACTTAGTTTTTGCATTGTGATAACTTAGTTTTTGCATTGTGATAAGCTCGATTGTGCATTGTGATAACTTAGTTTTGCATTGTTTACGATAACTTTTGTATTCAAGAAAGTTTTGTTGCATTACAAACTTTAATTTTGTACTGGATGTTTTGTTTTGTGTATTGCACGTACGGGCCAGTGTAACATAAAGATATTTGCTGAGATCTTTAAATTAGCATTTCAAATGTATCCATGAGAGTAAATGCCTTTGATAGTAAGCTGTGTTGTAATCACGAAATATTCAGAGAACATTTAGATGTGTAAGACTCAAGTGACACTTCCTACAGACCAATATAACCTCTACACATGGTTGTTAATCTAAAAGCCTGCAATTTTACACATAAGGCTACATGGGTAGTTATCACAAAAGCAAGCATAGTGCTGCATAGTTGATGGCACAGTTTTAGAAAATATTTGAATTTCTCCATGGTAGTTTCCTTTAAAGATATTAAACAGAATAATTCTTTTATAATGCTTGAATAAGTCATAATTCAATGGAAAGCACTATCCAGGGATGAGGGATACACAGCAACAACATGTGCTCATCAAGTTGTTGTTGATCCTTCCATCATATTTTTGGTGTGTAAGCCATGTTATGGCCATCATGTTGGATAATTTTAACAAAGGATTTTCATTATTTACAATGGAAATGTCACCCAGCATGGAGAACAATCTATAGTTCTCTCACTCCCAGGAGAATGTTTGCACCCACCCACCCTATATAAGGGCCTTGGTTGAGCTATAAATTGCAGTAAACCTTTAATAAATAACAGTGGATTGGCGAACCAAAAACGAAAGGTACGGATTTTAGAAAAGAATGAACCACTTTACCTGTAAAAAAGAAGCTTTCTTCTTGCTGTTGTCAAGTTTCCATTTATGTAATACCTCCTCAATTTGACAGACAAACCTTGGAAAAAGGAACGTTGGTCGAAAATAATACTATTGAAGACTTTCAGTTGTAGAAATAAATACTATTGGTCACGTTTTGTTCAGTAGTATAGTGCAGTAAAAATCTAACTGCTATCTTCAGTGCACTCTGCTACATTTTTACCTTTCCCAGTCAGACGCTGTCGTGAAATCAGTAATTTCAAAGACAGAGGACTCCTATAATGCACACAAAATAACATAAAAATATCGCAGTAAGAAGAACAATAAGAAAAGAAGTTGAAATTCGTGTACGTTTTCATCATCGTTTGCACTCCCAGCGTCCGCCATATTAGTGTTGATTGTGACATCATCAAACTGACGTCACAAATTACTTTCATCTTCAACAAAAACTTTATGCATAAATAGAACGAAAATGAAAATGTTGTATTGTGAAACCTGATTGGAAACATATGCATGACTACAAAAAAATACATGACAAACAAATACACTAAACAAAAACAATTAATAAAATGCATCAAGCATACAAACGCTTGAATTTAAAATCTTGTGAAATTTCTACATATTTACAACTTATCAATTTTTATGATTAACAATAAACATGATGATCAGACAGGAAAGTTTGTAGTGCATGCCAGAGATAGTGGATGCACAAGAAGCTTTATGCCCACAAAGTTTGAATTTCTGGTGCACAGTTTACAAACTTTCCAGTCTGGATCATGGAATATAAAAGACATCAATAAACAATTCATGAATTTTAGTATTGCAATTGGTTTTCATTTCCTTTCTTGAAATTTTGACATTCACATTTCGTTTTCCTAAAAATTGGAACACTGAAATAGTTAAAAAATAAAGTACAAACAAAATTTAGAAGGTTATGATTATACTAATGGTATGTACCTTAATTGAAACTCTACTCCTGAAACGTTGATACTCTGCCAATCTCTCCTCTTTATCAAAATACCACAAGGTGATGGCATACCTTTAAACAAACAAAAGAAAGTTTATAGAAAATTGCACTATTTTGAGTAGGAAAATACCAACATACCTGGTCGTATGAACTGGCAAAACCTCGTGTGGATTACGCCTATCAGACCAAAATAAAAACAGACGATCAAAAATTGGTTCAATGTCAACATATGCTTCGCTTCCATGAGGATATAGCCGTAGTTCACCACCATTCACCTAAGAAAGTATAAACATAGGTCAGGAACAATATAAAAGCAAAACATAAAGGCTGCCCAAAATTGCAGTGACTAAACCTTGGTTACTACTACGTAATTACTGCAAATGTAGTTTTGCAGAAGCCTTATCTGGTTTCTCAAAAAATTTCTAAAATAACTTGAGCTTTGTAGTGGAGTAAAAAATTATTGTGATACATATTTAACATAGTGAAGTGGATATGTAATTATACAAATAATTACGGCCTAAATCAATGTTTTAATAAGCATGACAGTCATAAAAGTAGATCAGGATTGACTTGAAAGCTAAAGATAATGTTGGTTACTATGGCTACTTTTAACAGCACTTAACTACAAAATATCTTTACAGTTTTAAAGCATCTTCACAAAATGTTACCAATATTTTAGAACCTTTAATGGTGTAGAGTTTAATACACCTTTCACTGCAGAAATCTCCGTGAAAATTGTACATAAAATATACCACAAATGTGGTTTTTCCTTAACTCTAATTGGCTTCAACCACATCTTATTTTGGACAGCCTGATCCACAGTGATTTTAGCACTCACAATGTTATCATAATTTTGGTTAAGGTAATATAAGGCCGTAATCAAACGACCATCTTGATTTGGATTATCCACATGCTTGCGATAGCGTCTTCCTCCACCAGGATAGCAAGAAATCATTCCCTAAAATATATTATGAACAACTGTCACTTTGTTAATACTGAACTCAAACACAACACAAAGAGGTTTTTCCAAGTTTTCAAGCACTGAAATATATATAATTAACATAAATTTTACATAGACAAAAAGCACAATAAACTTCTTATGAAATGTAGTTGATATGCCGTGTTTATTTGGAACATTTGAAAGGGATAATATATTATCTACCTGCGTTCGTCCTTCGATAATGCGATCAGGCATGAGTTTATTAAGTTCACGAAACAAGGCATCGCATCTTCTTATGTGAAGTCCAATGTTTTCCTTTCCCTCTTCTTTACCTTTTACCCAAGCAATTAAATCGCCTCGATCATTTTCAGAAGTCAAAGAATTCGACAATTGCCCTTTTTGCATTGACCCACTTTTGTGAATACGTTTTACTTCTTCGAGAATCTTCAAGGCATTCTCCTCTTTGTGAAATCTATCGACGACACAATAACCTTGAGTTTCGAGTTTTCTCAAAACATTTCTGGCGAGACTTTCAAGGACATTCGAACGCTTGTACGCCAAGAAGTCATCGCCACTAATGTACGAATTAAAACTTTCGCAAGCTGTGCAATTCTTTGGCATATCAAGTGGTTTACAATCTAAACGATAGTTCGACGCCATCTTTCATGCTATTTAGCCATGAAAAAGTTCAAGAAATATACGTTTTACTTTCACTGCCCACAACGCGTTGACGATGTCCAACATTCACAAGTTTAGATCAAATCGTGCTTCCTCTCACGGTGAACATGACGTAAGAATTGCTTTGATTAAAAATAAAGCTATAACAGAATTGAGGAATGCTTGTGGAATTGTCTTGAATGTCTTCCCATGGCCGTAGGAAACCGAGGGAAAGGGGGGTGAATTTGGACAGGGGGTTCAAGCCATTGAGTTCCATAATAACTGGAGCGGCTATCTCAAGCGCGGCTTTCATTTGTGGCTGATACCAAAAAAATGAAGGATTTGTTCCATTATCGCTGAGATTTACCGAAATTGCTGCTTTTCCGAAAATTTTCACAATTTCTCTCTCTCCCCTTAAGAAAGAGTGATAAAAAAGTATACGTGTTTTTCGCATATTTGGCAAGCAATTTTATGATGAAAATCACTGTAAAAACATATATTTCCTAAAAGCGAGTCTACTGTGGTTGCCAGTTGTCTGCTTCAACGACGGATGCCTTTTTTAACAAACGAACTATTTGTTGGCCACATAGGAATGCAGATGTGCGCGTCGTAAAGCCCGTCGTAAAGCCAGATAAACGCGTTTGATATTTGACTCATCTGTCACGAATGACAAATGTTGTTCAAAACTTCCGCGCACACTAGGAACTTTTGTCGATCGCACTTGTCACGAATAACAAGTACGCGCGGCAAGTTCACCAGTGTGCGGCGGGCTTAACTGTCCTTTAATGTTTGCTCGATCAAAGTTTGCAGTCTGCACGAAACAAAATATATCATATTTTATCTCAACGGATCACTAGTGAAATGTTAGCTCATTTATTCTCATTAGTTTTTTCCATTCTTTCATGTGATGGCCTTTTTCGCAACAATTGTAGCAAATTTCTCCTTTGCACTTTAGCACAAAGCAGTTATGCGTCCACCGGTTCTCTATTATATGGGACTGTATACTATCTAAAGCTAGCGCGCAGTCAAACACAATTCGCAAAATGTCATCAATTTAATTTTCTGGTCAAAGTTATACATCAATTCCAATTCATGCTCCTTACTCGTTCACAGGCATCAACAAAAGACAATGCCGTCTTAATTTGACCCTTCTAAAATACTTAATAATCATAAGTTCTTTTTTCCGCTTTAACGATAAGTTCCTAGTCTCAAATAACAATCATAATTTATTTACATAATTTCCGACTACAATTGTAGGATTTGTTTTTGTACAGGCATCTCGCGTTTCGTAAATTTAATGAAAAAATAGATTGTATACAAATGATGAGAACCTTTGAGATTTTTGTGTTCTGAACAAGAACTGCATTAAATACTTGTCAAGTAGTAGCATATTTGATTTCGTTGTCATGATTGTGAAATGACAAAAATGCAAATAATTAAAACACTTAAATTACTATAGTGTTTATAATACTTGAATACATGAATACACAATTGTGTATTTAATACTTCTCTTCTTTTTCTCTTTTTTATGTGTTTCCTATTAGCCATGTGAGTTCAGAATTTGATTGACTAATACAGCTTTCACCTCAATAATAAATTTTATACCCATATTTAATACCAGTTGCTATGGGATTTTTTCCTCTAAGTATGCAACATCTGGTGTTGTTTATACAAGAATGATGAAGTGCATGTACACATGTAAAAATAAGGCAATAAAACCAAATGAATTAAACACATTTTGTGTTCTTTAATGCTTTAAGCTTAACAGCTTTTCAGAAAATATAGAGTTATTAAACTGCACTACCTGTATTTCATTCATATTATGAAATGAATTAAGAAGCAAAAAATTGAGGAAAAACTTGGAAAAAACAAAACATTTCCCAGGTTTAATAAAGGAGAAAATAAAGCAAATGGCAAATGTCCATTATGTCCATTCTCTTCTTTATTAGGTAAATGAGCTCAAAATATTTTTTCAGCAAAAACTGAAATTAAGAAGAAATATATAGCACTGCTGTTTTCATCACTGAATCTTTAATGCTTCAATATAGCATGCATTACACATAAGTAACATTCAAACAACTTTCTACTAAAATAATTTAATAAAGAGATGTGACATGATTTTACAATTTAGTTTTAAAAAACTCTGGATTGTACAGTTGAAGCAAGTCATCATCAATCTCAGTATCAATATTGACACAAACACAAACTTTATGACCTTTTTACATGACATTTCATCAAGCATCAAGACACACAAAACCTTGTCATTTTTATTTGGTACTTGACCTTCACTTTTAAGGCATCTTTACTAAATTCTTTATCTCCATCCATAGAATTAGTCCAAGTTGAAGTAACTGTTGGACAAAGAAGTCTGTAAATTAATTACCTTTGTTTGTATTCAGCCTTATAATTTTGTAGTTAGACTCTGCCAGGTCAATAGCATCTTCCAATTGTCTTCATGGTGATCTATGAAATAGTGTTGGTACTGGTACTGCAGCATATTCCAGAAACATTTTGCTATCCGATCATCTCTTCATGTTGTCAGCAAATTGATCAGAACAAACTCTGCTCTACATTAAGTGTACTCTTTGGAGTGATCGCTTCTTCATAGTATCTGCCCACTAAGTATAAAGAGCAGAATCTTTTTCGCGTTTGGGAAACTATTTTGCAAACAGATTTACGGTTTCACTCATTAACAAATAAGTGAAAAAGTATGTTGATATTTAAAAAAAAAATAGTCGGATTTTATCGCTCAGGCTTCAAGTTCAATTGCTTTTCAATTTTTGATCAACAAACAAAACACATATCTCACCTGAGAAAGCGGCATTTTCCTTTTTGTGGAGTGTTCCCCGCAGTCTTTGCTAAAGCTCGCTTACGAGTACGACTACGAGGACGATTTACGTCATTTTGGCGCGAAAACATTGTTGCGACAACAAAAACACGTAGCCGTCATCAATCTGACTCACTGAGTTCTATAATAACTAGAGCGGCTAACTTTACTGGGGCGAGGATGCCAAAAAATGGCGGCCAAAGGACGTATTTCCGCTGAAATGATCGCTTTGCAGAAAAATAATATTCTCGACCTCCCCCTGGTGTCTATAGTAAATTATAAAAATTTTTCAAAAACAAACACGATATCACAGAATATGGACATCGTAGTTCCATATTCTGTGACGATTCTTTTTGGCATTTCTTTTATAATGCCAACACTTCAATTGTTCAATTGTTGGATGTCGTAGTTTCCACAAAAAGGAACATATCGCGTCTCACAGGTGAGGTAGTTGTTTGTTTTGTTAGTCCGTCAACGATTGAAAAGCAATTATACATGCACTTGAAAAGCCATAAAATACATATTAAAGATCGTATTTTTTTAAGACTGACTTGAACGCAAAACATACTGATGTTTTTCTGTTTTTGTTTATAAAATTCTGCATACTTTTCTGTCATTTGTTAATGCATGAAATCGTAAATTTACCCATTTATTTGCTAAATAGTTTCCCTAAAGCAAAAAAGACCCTGCACACATTTTGCTCTGTGTATAAAGTATCAAAAAGAAATGATCAGCCCCAACGGTACCCATGATTTGGAGCAGAGCTTGTTATGTTCTATTTGCTGACAACATGCAGGGAAGATCAAGGAGTAAAGATGACTGGAAGATGTTATTGACCAGGCAGAGTCGTAAAAAAATTATAATGCTGTAAAGATAACTGATTTATTGTCTGTCCTATCCAGAGTTATTTAATTTGACCGTGGTCAAATTCTATGGATGGAGACAATGGATTCACGAAGGATGCCTTGAATGCTTTGAAGTTAAAGTTCATGATCCAAAGAAAGATGGCACGAAGGTTGTGTGTGTTTTGATGCTTAATGAAATGTCAATTCACAAACATGTAAAATGGAAGGCCATAAAGTTTGTGTCTATGTAAACATTTGTACTGAGATTGATGATGAGTCGATGCAGATGTGAAGCTTCAAACTGTAAAAGCCATTGGGTTTTATGTAACTTAATGTTTAAATGATGTCATATCTTTATCAAAATATTTTAGTTGAGTGTTGTTTGAATGTTACTAATATCTAATGCACTATACTGAAGCATTAAATATTCAGTGATGAAACCTTCAAAGTTACTGTACTGTATATTTCTTATATATTTCTTATATTTCTTTAAGAAAAATTTGAGCTTATTTACCTATTAGAGTACAGAATGGAGATTTATCATATGCATTATTGCTGCTTTTTTAAAGAAACGTTTTTCACTTTTCAAAGCTTTTCTACAAACTTTTTGCTTCTTATTTCTTATCATGAGATTGATGATATAGAGGTAATATAATCCAATAACTTTCTAATTTCTAAAAAGCTTTTAAGCTTCTAGCATAGGAGTACACTATAGGTATGTAATTCATTTGGTTTTATTGCCTTGCTATGACATATCTACTTGCACTTCATCATTTTTGTATGAACAAAACACCAGATGTGGATGCTCAAAGAACAAAATGCACTACCAACTGCTTATGAAATTTATTATTGAGGTGAAAACTGTGTTAATCATTCAAATTATATGCACTTTTATTGCAAAGATAGGAAAAACAAAACAAAGTGAAAAAGAAAGGTAGAATTATTAAAACTACAAATGAATTATAAACACCATTGGAAGCATAAGTGTTTTGATGATTATTTGCATTTCGCCCAATTCATATATCAATACAACAAAATCAAAATGTGCTACAACTTTACAAGTATTTGATGCAGTTGCACTTCAGAACATCACAAAAAGGTTACTTAAAGTAATTTCTATACAATATTGTTTGTTTCCATTTACCAAACCTATGCAGACTTGAGTCTTCGAAATTTCATATGAAACTCAATTACAGAGATAAATATCCAGAGATTTAATATGTACTTTTTTAAAGAAACAAGTAAAAATCCTACAATTGTGGCGAAAAAAGCCATTGCCCATTGCATGAAAAGAAGGAAAATAGCAATGATAACAAATAAGCTAACTTCTCTCTCGTGAACCGTGGAGATGAACTATGATATACTTTTTTGTATAGACTAAAGAGTTTAATCGATCAAACAAGTTTGACGCTGGTAAGAAAACGACGCACATCTGCATTCATACATGTGTAGCCGATATATAGGTCTTTCGTCGATAGTTATAAATGCATCCTCGTAGCAGCAGATAACTGACAACCACAGTTGACTCGCTGTTATGAATTTAAGGTTTTTACCTTGATTTTCAACAAAAAATTGCTTGCCGAATCCCAAATACACACATACATTTTCCTCACTCTTTTCTCAGGAGGGAGTGGGAAATTGTGAAATTTTCGGAAAAGCGGTCAATTTCGGTAAATCTTAGCGGCAAAGGACGAAATCCGCCATTTTTTGGCATCATCAGATATCTAAGGCCGCGCTTGAGATAGCCGCTCCAGTTATTATAGAACTCAATGATCTGACTACGATGTTTTGTAAAAAATTCTTAGTCGTGACTACGATGTCTTTTTAAGCAAAGAAAGTAGATATATTTCTTCATTCTGTAAGAAATTAGTTTACAGTACTATTTTCGAGCATCCAGGCTTTAATTTAGAACCTTTCTTGAGCGCAGATGTACATTAAAAAGGAAAATAGGACCTGCAAAACTTTAATGTATTTCGTACGCAAAGTGAAAAGTAAACAAAGAATAAAGTAGTACAAATATATCGTACACAAAACTTAAAATAGTGAAGATTTTTCAGTCTAAAGAGTCCTATCTTCTTGCAAAATCAGTATTACCGATTTGTTGATATCATTATTGATAAATAGAGCCAAAGCTGCTTCGCAAACTTCGGTGTTTTACACAATAAAAAAGCTTGTTCTATTGTTTACAGCTAAAACTAAATTTTGACGCAGCGACAACGACAACAAACTTCCTCGTGCCATTCCATTACACGGTCAAACTTCGTACTCGTTGTTGTAGTTGTACTTTTGCTAAAGCTCCCTAGTAAGCACTCGTCGACATTGCAAAAGCTCTATCGCCCACGTTTTGCAATGAATGAGAACTAGGCTTTACCATCCCCTTTTTTCCAAGAGAAATCACTCGACTTTGGCATTTTTTCATTAGTAGGCCGTATTCTATGGTGGATTATTGTTCAGGTTGAGATGCAGAAATTTATGACTAAGTAAAAACAACATAGATGTACTGATATGTACTCACTTAACATAAATTGGCCTGTTTACATCCCGAAAACTTGCAATCAAGAGAGCTAGAGCCATCAAAAATTCGACATTTATTTTCTATATCCGCCATATTGTTTTGTGTGAAATTCGCTAATTTGCTGGCTCATATTCAAAAGAACGGTGCTAAATAATGATTAAGGATCAATCTTTCTAAGTTAATTTGAAATGATATGTTTAGCTATTAATCTTCCATAGCTGCTTGATGGACAAAAAGACTAAAAAATGAAAAAACAATTCTTGAAATTGAATTGCGAAGGAGTTCTTCATCTTTTTGTGTAAATAATATAACGATAATAAATTGGCACATGAGATTGCGTACTCAGAATCCTTTGGTCGCCATCTAGCTCCTGCTGTACACACTGCTGAGCAGTGCATTCTTAATAGAACATTTCATTGAAATCGTTTATGAAGTTTTCATGTGTATCGTCGGCATCATCGTAATCGCTATCATCGCACTCATCCGGCTCTTTCATTGGGCCGTCATCTTCAGAGGCGTAGTTACTGCAGTCAGAACAACCGCAA